GGTCCCGAGGCTGCCGTGGCTCCCTTCCTGCGGGAGGCCAGCATCTGACTGGAACGCAGAACCACGCTGGGCCGTCCGTGCCCGTCCGCGGCTGTGAGTCGCGGTGCCTGCAGAGAGGCCTGGACGGCGGGCTTTTCTGCCACGGAGCAGCGTGCCCGTGGCCCGGACGGGTCGCTTCCAAAAGCCCCGGGAGGAGCGTGGCTGGAGCGGCTGCTGCTGGGCCAGACCGCCCGGGTGTCCGCCCTTCCGTTCAGGAAGCACAGGAGGAGGAGGAGGACGAGAACTCGTGGGCCTAGGCGCAGAAAGCACCCAGGGGCCCACTGAGCGGCCCGAGTCGTGGGCCCGCTGCCTGGGAACTCCCCACCTGTGTGTCCGGGACCCGCTGGGCAACTGCCACCACCACGTGCCGTGGAATCTGAGGTCCCCCCGGAGCCGCCCGGCTCTGCAGAGCCCGGCTCAGAAACCCCTGTGTCTGCGAGCGTGTCAGAGCAAGGAGGGAAGACGGCCACCAGGCCGTGGGGGAGGGATGGCCGCACTCTGACCCTGGGTCCAGGCCACGGGGCCACCCCCACTCTGCCCCCCACACACAAGGTGGGTTCGCACGCTCCACGGGGGCTGGGGGCGCAGCAGGGGGGGGGGCCGGTCTCTCAGGGGCCTGGGGGCTGACCCTGCCAGCCCTGCAGGGTGGCCGCGGGGCCGTGGTAGTTTCACGAGGGCCTGGCTCCCCACAGGACAGACGCACGGGGAGAACCCTCCGCCACCCCCTCGGACCCGGGGTCCTCTGTCCCGCCAGTGGGTAGCAGGCCTCAGCGGGAGGATCGCCCCGGGCCCCACGACAGGCCATCTCAGACCACGTTTCTTCTGCCCCTCCCTCCATCCTGGGCGAGCCTGTGCCTGGCCACACTGCCCAGCACGGCGCGCCAGCCGCTCCGGGGTGGGGCCGCGGGGGCGACCTTCCCCAGTGAGGGTCAGCACGGCGTGGGGGTGGGAGACAACTGGTCCGCCCGGGGCGGGGGTGCTGTCTGCCCTTCCTCCGGTCTGGTCACGGGTAATGCAGCAGAGAGGGAACGCTACAAAACCCGCGGTGCGGCTGAGTGTCCCCTCCCCTGAGACGGCGAGGGCACGTCCAGCAGCAGCAGCAGCAGCAGCTGGGTGTCCAGTCTCCCCCTGGTGGTCTCCCCCCGGTGGGCTTCCCGGCATGTTCCCCGTGAGCCCTCCCAGCGGCTGCGGGAGGCGGCCGGCGGCCTCTCTGAGTCTCATTATGCATCTTGAACATGTATTTTTAGGCGGCGGAATCTGGCATCCTCCACGCAGCGGGGCCAGGAATAGAACGGAGCGTTCGGGTTGACCCCGGCCTCCCGTGGGAGCCGTGGCTCGCGAGCAGCTCTGAGGGACACGCGTTTGGCGGCCGGCTGCCACTGCCCAGCAGGCGGGTCGTAATGAGCGGAGGGGGGGCTCGGCCGAGGTCGGGGCGCGTGGAAGGAAGTGGCCTTTCCCATGCCGGCACCGCTTCGACATCACCCGCCCACAGACACCGTCCCGGCGGCCCCCGGGCTCGCTCACGGGGCTCCCCGCCGAGGGCTGAGGGGGTCGGGGGGGTGATCCGTGGAGCTCACCCTCCCGACGGTGCCGTCTTCACGGAGACTCCCCCCCACGGCCTCCGAGGTGGCCACGACGCCAACAAAAGTTGCAAGGGTCACTCACGGGGTCGCTCTATCGGGCCCACAGCCTCATGCAAACTCCACCGGCCACTTTCTAGGAAACGCTAGGCTGTGGGCATTTCTAGGGTCTAACCTGGGGAGTGGAGGGGAGGGTGGGGGCTGTTTTCCAGGGGACTCTCTCCAGGAAGATGGACAGGAGGAGGGGGCAGAGCCCGGGGGTGGGGCGTGGAGCCAGGGTGCGGGGGTGTGGTCTGCGTTTTTCCTGAGGCTTTGGCGTGGTTCGGGTTCCAGGGTAGACGCGGAAGGTGTTTCTTGTTCGTCCCCTGTACACCCAGTGGCACATGCGAAGAGGGAAAATTATAGAAAGCTGAAAACAAATACAAACAAAGAAGCGTAACTGTGCAGGTTTGAACACACTCCTGCCCAGAGTCAAGGGTCTGTCCTGGGAGTTTCAGAGCAGAGCTCCCTGACCGAATGTCCTCAGTGGAACGCAGTTCAAGAGCAAGAGGGACAGCGAGGAACTCGCGAGCTCGCGGCCGCTCAGTGACCGCTGGTGGCGGTGGCGGTGGCGGTGGTGTCGCTCTGAAGTGACTCCGTCGGGGTGCAGGGCGGGGGGAAGGGGTAGGGTACGCTAATGGCATGGAACGTGGAAGTGGGAACTGTGGGACACTGGATTCTCTCTCTCTCTCTCTCTCTCTCTCTCTCTCTCTCACACACACACACACACACACACACACACACACTGTACAAAACAGCAATGGCCCCTGCCTTACAGTGACACTACCCGTGATTCCCCACGTAAAGTCTTTGGAGAAGTGGCTTATCCCGGGTGTTGACCTGAGTGCGTCGGGGCCGCCTCGGGCCGGAAAGCAAGGACGAGTTCAAAGCCCCGTGAGACTGATGTCACGGAGGCCCAGGAGCTGCTCCAAGGGCCCCCACCAACAAGAAGAAAAGTAACAGACTACAGGAGTTCCGTTTTAAAAATGCAGCAGTCCCGAGTGTGTCGCGAGTCCGTGGTGCTACTCAAACAGGCAAAGGAGAGAGGAAGGGAAAACGTCGGCTAAATATATTCCGAAGAAATCGTGCAGCTTAAACATCCCCGACGGGCGGTCCAGGCCTGGGCAGGGCTGGTGACCGGACGCTCACGTCACGGGGGCAAGCGTGGCCGGAGCCCCGGGCGGCCAGTGACCCTCGTCCTCCAGTGTCCCCCCACAGAGTGCCCACCACTCCGAAGGGGGAGCACAGCCGTGCGGCGGAGCCGCCTGGCCGGGCCCCCCCACCCCGAGTTGCGCACAGGCTCCGAACCTGCGGCAGAGGGGCGGACGGCCTCACTCCACGGGCTCCGCGAGTGGTGCCGAGGAAACGGGGGTGCTTCCCTGCGGTTTTCTTGTGAAAACAGAAACCGTTTCCCGTGAGTCCGGGCATGAAGACGCAACTGGGCCCACGGGGGGCGCTCTGCAGACGCTGCCGCGTGCGCAGTCTCCCCCGCTGCATGTCTCCGGCAGCTCTGGGAGAGTGTGTTGTCGCAAGTGGGGCCGGGAACGAGCAGCTACCTTTTTTTTAAACATCTATGATCTTTTTTTAAAGATTTTATTTATTTATTTTTGAGAGGGAAGGGAGGGAGAAAGAGACAGAGAGAGAGAAACATGAATGTGCGGTTGCTGGGGGCCATGGCCTGCAACCCAGGCATGTGCCCTGACTGGGAATCGAACCTGCGATGCTTTGGTTCGCAGCCCGCACTCAATCCACTGAGCTGCGCCAGCCGGGGCAGCAGCTACTTCTAAAGGTCACGTACAGCGGGGACACTGGCTGAGTCTCTGATGCAGCGCCGAGCCCCCGCCTCCAGGTGCAGGCAGAGCAGCCCGCCCTACCTGCTGTGGGCCCTTCTGTGGAGGGGTTCCGAGTTGCTGTGCACCCTCTCTCGGTGGGACGCGGGGGTCTGCGGCTGCAGCAGTGCGGGAGATTCGTCCAGCGCCCCGCGCTCCGCCCTCACGTGCCGGGGGGCTCCTTGGGCGCAGACAGACTCACTTCAGCTTGCTCCCCCACCGGGCTCTGCGGGGGGCGGGGGGGTGAAGGAGGATTTGGGGAAAGCCTCGGGCTCCAGGCTCAGCCAGAGTTTCCTGCTGGTGGTTGTCACCTCCCGCCCTTCCCCGTCCAGGTTTCCACTTTCTGAGACAGGGTTAAGCCCTGCTTTGTGTCTGCGTGGCCCGAGTCTCGGGTGGGGGCCGTTTCTGTGGCAGGAGCCCCCCCGGGGCCGTTTTTACCCCTCCCTCCGTCCGCACCACCTGTCGGCGTGCCTGACCCTGTCAGTGGCCCGCGGTCTGGGCCAGCGCAGGCGGCGTGTCAGGCGTGAGGCACATGCAGATTGGTTCGGCAGTGCCGGCCTGTGAACGCACCGGACAGGAACCACAGCGCACTGAGACTCAAGGTGTCTGCCCCAGGACACAGTGTCTCCAGCCAGTCTTCTGCATCCGCCCAGGTGTCCCGGTGTCTCTGGACGCCTCGGATGGTTGAGGTGTTACTGCAATCAACTTGGCAAAGTTATTTTCCAGGACGTGAAGGTCAGGAAATAGATCTGACTCTTCTTTGGCATAGTTCTGTTGCTTTGGCGATGACTTGACTCATTTTCCCCTTAAAATCCAGCCCGGCCAGCAGGTGGCATGTTTGAGGCTTCTCTTATTTTTATTTAAAAAAAAAATTGCCATTGAAAATATTTTTCAGGGTCTTTTAAATGTAAGCTCCTATTTAGATAGTTACAGAGACTGGCTGAGCCAGGGGCGCTAGAACAAATAAAAAACGCAGTGATGATACTTTGTGTCTGTGGGAAGTAATCTTCAGTGAAACATCTGCTCCCTGGTGGTAACTTGGAGGACAGTGTATCACGTGTGCGCTGCACGCTTCCAAAACACGCATTTCAGCTCCTGCTCGGCACCGGGAGCCCTCCGGCCGGCAGCCCTCTGGGGAGGATTGAACAGGTGACTGAAAGGCTCCTGCCTTGGGTGGCTCGGTACCAGGGGTGGGTGGGGCCCGAGTCACCGCCCCGCCCCGCCCTCCCCCACGGTCCCGGTGTCCTTCAGTTCAAGTTCCGGGATGCGAGAACCCCGGCAGCCCAGGGCCACCCCTCTGCCGCCAGCTGTAGCTGGGCGGCCGTCTGATGTGTTCTGGTAACAGTTCACTGGTGTGGACCGTTGTTTCTCGGGGACCTTCATAGCCATAGCTGGAAATGTGACCGAGTGTCCCGCGCGCACACGCACACACACACACACACACACACACGTGTGTTCTCACCGAAGTGTGGACGAGGGCCGCCGGCAGGGCCGTCTTCAAGCCAGCACACCGTAGAATGGCGTCCCCGAGAACGGACCGCTCCTTCACAAACACTCACCCGCCTTGCTGCCAGTCAGCGTTTCCTGCGTTCGTGAGTTATATGACCGTGATACGGTGCCACACCTGTGCCAGGTTATGTAAGCGCCTGGCTGTCCCCCGCCCCCGCTGGGGCGGATGGCGGGGCGCGCAGGCCCGGCCTGCGTGTCAGGGACGAGGGTCACTCCTGCAGTTTTGGGGAGTGACCCCGTGCAGGGGTGGGGACGCACAGAAACGCTGGCGGGGAGGAGTCACGTCTACAGTGGGTGCCCGGGCCGCCCCGGCGCTGGCAGGACGGCGGGGCTCCTGGGCTGCCGGGACTTGGAGGAGGTGCCCGTGGCTCCCGCAGACGCCTGTGGCCTCCGTCCCCCGGGCCGAGCGGACAGTGACAGCCCGTCCGCTTACTTCACTCCTGTCATCCCAGTAGGTGCTTCCTTTTTTGCATTAAGACTAGGATTTGGGGGGCGGGGTGGGGAGGATTTAAATTCATGGAGTGATCAAAAGAAGTGAGATTTTCTAAATGCCACGAGATATTTTTAGTCCTTTCTGCCGGAAAGTCAATGGCACGTGCACGGCGCCCGGTGAGACCCGTAGGCGCCCGGTTTTGCGTTCGCAGGGATCTCTGTCCCATCGGAAACTGAGTCTTGCATCTCGCACTGCCCACCCTGTGGTGGTTTCCTTACCAGATGCTGGGTCCTCGGCAGGCGGCTCTTGTCTCCTCCCTAACTCTGTCCTTCCGACTCTGATCCTGTTGGCGGCGACCGCAGGAAACTCCTCACCTCCGAGCGGGGCGTCTCGGGGGACCCCCCCCCACTTCCCTCTGCTGCGCATCCATGAGGGGTCTGTCCTGACCTGGGACTCTGTGGTCGCAGGCTCTGTCGGCTGCAGGTGACCGGGCAGACACCAGTGAAGTGTCCCCTGTGCGCGCCCCGAGACCTGGGGCCGTGCCGTGTGGATGACAGGACGGCCCCGTGGAGAGTGCCCTGTGCGCGCCCAGCCCCAGTTACGGGATGTTGGTGTCCGTTCGCAGTTTCACGGTCTTTGCGGGAGCAACACATCCCCTGGGTGGGGACCCATCAAGGCCACGCTCTCGGCAGGCGGCCGGCTGCCAGGAGCTCCTGGAGGTGACGGCTGAGCGGGAGGACACAGACTTATGCTCCAGGGAAGGGGTGGGGGCGGGGGTCCAAGCCCCCGTGGGGCCCTGGGGAAGGCTCTGAGCCCCCACATCGGACCCGAGATTCAGCGGTGGTGGGGATCAGGCCCGAGTTTGGCTGGGACGCCGGTGGGGTGAGGGAGACTCGGGCAGTTTAGGGAGAGCGGAGGTTTCCGTTGAGTCCTGAGGCCGCTGCGAGCAGAGGGACCCCAGCAGCGAGAGCCTGGGCTGGACGGCAGGCGGGGAGGGAGGGGAGGGCGGGAAGGCCTCGCTGGGGCCGGAGGTGGACACAGGCCTGAGGACTGGGTGGGGCGTCCACACTCTTTTAGGGGTGTCCTCTTCAAGACACCCAAGAGCGCCCCAAAACGGTTGAAGTGCACGGTCACGCCTGGGTTTGCTCGCCCGGAAGCACCCGGACGGACCCGGAGGACGCGGGCGTTGATTGTTTCGCTCCTTCCTGTGCTCCTCCGTGACTGCCCCCGAACGTGCCGGTCGTTTACCAGGGACTTTGGGGGGCAAAGGCTCGGTCAGACTCAGCCCTCCCTGTCCGGAGCTCCCCGCCTGGACGTGGGTGAGCTGCAGACGCCCAGGCCAAGGTCGCGGGGCCCTGGGGTCGGGCACCCGTGTGCTGGTGACGCGTGATCGCCAGCTCTCTGGAGCGGTGGCGGTGTCACTGCAGATGTCACGGACACGGGACCCTGCGTAGAGCCCGATGCACAGCAGTGAGGCGGACGGTACCCCGTCGGTCACGAGCGGTGCGGTGTGTGTGCGTGGAGCCCCCGGTCGGGGGCGGCCGTGGCCGCGTGGACGCGTGGTGCGGCTCCGAGTGGGCGCTGGCGGCGTTTTCAGGGACCAGTGAGACGCGGGCGGGGGCTCCGCCCTTTCCTCGGTGACCCCGCCTCCTCCTCCTCCGCCGCCGAGCGGCGGCGTGAGTGTGGGGGCCCGAGGTGTGTCCCTGACCGTCTGTGCTGCTGGCAGTGGGGAGGGGGGGAGAGGGGCTCCGCAGCCCTCTGAGCCGCGTGCGCCCCAACAGCGTTCTGTGTCCCCGTCTGAGGTCAGGCCGGTCGCGGCCCACGGGCCGGGCTGCGTGTGGCTGTGCCCGCCGCCTGCAGGAGGCCTGCACACTTTTGGGGGGGTTTCATAAAAAAGCTAACGGAGAATATTATTTTATAAGGCAGAGGCGTTTTGTGACATTCCACGTTCAGGGTCCGTAGGTAAGATTTCACGGGACCCCTGTTCCTTCTTTCCTGACACATTGTTCTCGGGCTGCGATGGGGACACGGAGGGGCAGCACCGGACGCCACGCGGCCCGGGAAGCCCAAGAAGTCTGTCCCGTCTGGCTGCTCGTGGAGAAAGCCTGCTGGTGCCCCGTCTAGGCACCCGGCCACCGCCGAGGGCGCCCGGACCGGGAGTGCGTGCGCCCGTCTCCGGCTGCACCGTGGGGCGAGGCCCGAGAGCAGGGCGGGGCAGGGGACGCGAGAACGCCAGGGGCCTCGCCCCTCCCGCGGCCTCCCAGCCCCGGAGACGCCACCGCTGTAAACAACCTCAAGGGCACAGATAACAGTCCTGGGGGGGCGGGGTGGGAGGTGACCGCTGAGAGTTTATTAACTTTGTTCCTGACGCAGTTTATGTAATCGTGAGTGCATGGAATGTAGTTGTTAACAAGGGCCCTGTTCCTGACATTCCTGAGGCGTGAGCACCTGGAGGCACCTCCAGGGCCCCCTGGGGAAGGCCCCCGCTGGGCAGGGGGGATGGGGGCTGGGAAGGGGGGCTTCCGGGGCTGGGACTTTCAGGGTGAGGCGGCCGGGCCGGGGGCCAGCAGGGAGAGCTCCCGCAGAGGAGGGCGGGCGTCAGGTGGGCAGGGACCGACCGGGGGCTGGGCTGCAGCAGCTCGGGAAGGCGGCTGGGGGCTGCCGGACACACCCCGAGCCCCCGCCTCGGGTAGAGACGCGGGAAGGGGGTGGCAGCCGAGTACCCAGCACCAACGTGGCCCCTCCCTTGGCTTGGGCTGAGGAGAAGACACGGCCTTCCAGCTTGTGGAGAGACGGCGTGGGTGTGAGCACACGGGGTGTGTGTGTGTGTGTGTGTGTCAGCCCGTGTCTTCTGTCTGTCCCAGGGACACTTCCGGGGACAGGGGCGCGGGTGACGGACCCTCCTCGGCCGCGCTCAGCCCCACCCTCCTGGAAGTCACGAGGAAAGGGACTGTGTGTGTGTTCCCAGGACAAGGGAGGCTCCTGGAGCCGCAGGGGCAGGCGTGTTGTGTCAGAGCCCCCACTGGGTCTCGGGTCCGCTAGTGAGTCCAGTGTGGGTGGGATTTCCTTCTCCTCCTCTGTCCCCCGTGGGGTCTGAGGGCACAGAGCCCTGGGAGGCCCACGGTGTCAACAGAGCCCCCTGTGGCATCGGCCAGCACGCCCTGGGCTGCCTTTGCAGGGCCCAGCCCCTCCCCCCCAGCTTCCACTCGGCAGGTGAACCTGGAAGCTCCAGGGGCGTGTCCGGCCGGGGCGGGGGTGGGGGGGCCTGGGCCTGGTCCGAAGAACTACATAACTGCGGCTCTCTCGGCCACCATGCCCTCGCCCCGCACTGCTTGCAGTGCCCTGAGTGACGCTCCGGGACAGCGCCCCCTGACACGTCTCCGTGGTCACTCCTAGCGCGTTAGTGTTCCTAGACGGAGGTGGCTTTTAAAATCCCCCCTTGGAGTATTCCAGGGTCCTGCCCGAGGAGACCGATGACAATGGTTCCAGGGTTTTCAGTAACACCACGTGAAGGTTTCTGAAGCTGGCGTGGAACGGCAGGCGGGTCTGCGTTGTTACTGTAGCCCCTTCGTCCGGGGGAGGGGGGGCTGGCCCCGCAGGGCAGCCTGTGGTGCAGCGAGGTCAGCAAAGGCTGAACGCGACTGAACTCGACTTGCGCCGGAACGTCTCCCCGGACTTGACCTTTGAACATTGTTGCTGTTTGCGTTTTTCAGTGGCCTTGGCAGAGCTTCGGTGTAACTGTCTGTTGACTTGAAAAACTCCGCAGGCACATCTGTAGGAAGATGTAGAGAAGAAGTGTACTGCTTTATTTGCTTAAAAGCTTCGTGGGGTTTTTAAACAGGTTAGAAATGTCACAGGTTAGGGAAATGTCACATTTTAACACTGAAGAGACAGACACTAGAGGGTCCCAGTGGAGTGCCGGGTGAAGCAGACCAGGATGCAGGGACGGGGGTGGCGGGTTCTGGGGTCCGAGACCGGGAGCTTCAAGGAGCTCACAAGGAGGATTCAAGGACTCCCAGGCGCCCGGCCCTGAGCTGTATCACTTCGGCTTTGATTCGAAGGAAGCAAGCGGCAAGGAACAGGGTTGTCAGAGAAAATCCAGGAGGGCGGGGCTGCTTCCCGGGCCCTGCTGGGAGGCAGCCGCTGCAGGCCAAGGTGAGGGTTAGGTGAGCAGTGGGTGCAGACTCCAGCCTGGGCACGCAGGACACCAGGGGGCACCCCCACACCCCCTGCGTCAGGAAGTGGTGTGGGTGGGGAGGGCGTCAGTGGGCTGGGCTGTCCCCAGGGCTGGGGGACAGACAGTCGGGTGTGGTGGGCAGACCGGGAGCCGCCAGCCCCCCTCTGCAGACACCCCTTGTCCCCTGAGCGTCGCCCACCCCAGAGGCCTGCCCTGTGCATTCTGCACACGCCGCCCCTCCCCCGGGGTCGGCGCGCCTGTTCTCAGTTACTGGCGGGGGCCCCGAGCTGCAGAGGGATGGCCAGGAAGGAGCCCACCCCGGACCCATGGGACCCCCACATCAGCACCGCCCCCCCCTTTAGACGGCACTGCCTGGAATTATCCTTGCCCGAGGGCTTTGAGCTCCCACCTGGTGCGCGTCAACACCAAGCGCGAAGGAGTGTCTGTTACCGGCCATGAGCTGTTATATGCAGGAGGGGACCCACCCCCGAAAAAGAACGTGCTCACCTGGGGGGAAGGGGAAGGGCCCCGTGGAGCTGCCCACCCCCCCACCACCCCGCTGCTCCCTCTGCAACCCAGACCCCCGCCCTCCTGCAGGGCGCCCTCTGCTGGCTGCCGGCGCATCCAGCCCCCTCGGGACGGGCCTCCCTCCTGCAGAAATGGATTTTCTCTCCTTTGCACGACTCCGGAGACCCTCCCTTCTCTCCTGGCACCGGCTGTTCTCCCGTTTGCCCGCTTCCGAACCCTGCGTCACAGGTGAAGTCCCGTGCGATGGGACCCGGGTTTCCTCACTGCCAGGTGTCCCCTTGCCCCCACTCTGCCGGTGCTGGGTCCGGCCGGT